ACAATTATATAAAGTGTCTTGCGTGCAAATGTATTCTATCAAGATACTTAATAGCTCTGCATAGTTTTAGTACACGCATTCTGAAAAGAAATGATTAATGCATCTTTCCTCGTGAGACATTATGGAATGTAATCCCAAATCTGTGTGTTTCACCTTATGTATTCATACTAAGAGTTGACACTGATAGATTAGGTAATGTTGGGACCATGCTGGGAACTACCTATGTGCCGTAGCACTGAAAGACAGTCCATTAGTGCCAGAATTAATGCACTCTGGGACTTTTAATTCTTCATGGAATCTATTTCCATATTTAATTACGGGAAAGTCATAGGAAAAAAGTTCCAAAGCACCTTCATCCATTTTTATTGTCAACGGGAGTGGCGATTAGTAATTTTTCAAGTTATATTGCAATGTTCACTTAAAATAATGCACCTCCTTGCTGAGTTTGCTTCAATTAAACCATATTTTATTTGCTAATGACATAGCCAGTTGACAGCGACCTTGAAGTTGGTATTGTCAACACTTCTTGGCAAAAAGAGCATGGTGATTTAGAGTTAAGAGTACATCAGTTTTTTCTCTTCTGTCTGCCTACGTTTTTAAAAGGTTTTTTAATTCCATTATGGATAGGGTATTTTACCTGAGTAATGCACAGGTTAGTGAGTTAAGTAGCAGTCAATTTATATAATTTTTAATGCAGCGCTTAAGCAGTAGAAGGGAAAGGGAATAATTTTATTCAGGTTTATTGAGTTTGACAAAGAATAGCCTGTAGTTGGAGCACCTTTTAAAATTGCTTTCAGAGCTGACGCACTAAGATGCATTTTGTAAATGTCAGGATGTATCGACTGTAAGGCTCTCTCATAAACATTTTGCTACTGGATTAGGGACTGTAATGAAACAAATGTATATTTTGCTATTATTTAGTGGTCTGTCAAGAAAAAAAAGGCGGAATAAGCCCATTTTAAGAATATTTCTCTGTGCCTAATCCTTATCTATCAGTTCAACATGCAAGTGTAGAGAAGAGCAAACCACAGACCACCTATTACAATGCAGTCTGAGCCACGTGCACTATGGAGGACCTTCTTGTAGCAACACCAGAGACACTCCAAGTGGCCACTACTGGTCAAAGAACATTTAATATCACGCCAAGCTTCTAAACTTTGTGTTTTTAAATATATTACAACTGTACCCTCAGTTCACTTCTGATACGATAAATATAAATTTATCTGTTGTGGGTAATCAGAAAAGGGAGGACCAAATATAGATAAATTCAAGGTAGCCATATATTAAATATATTCTTAATTAAAAATTAAAGATATAAGTCCACTGCCGCCTGCCAATGATTTGGATTGTTTTTTTTAAAATTATTTTTATTTAGAATAATGTGCTCCCAAGGATGGAGTGTGATAGAAAAGTGGTAGAAACGTTATATTGCGTTTTAAAATAAAATGATACCATATACATGGAAAGTGGGGGAACATTGTGAGACAGATAAAGTAGCGAGAAATAGACAGGAAAAAGAGAAGGACAAAAAAAGGGGGTGGGGTGGGGTGGTGGTGGGGTGGCTTGTTGTTTTTTAACCAAGATGTGTAATAACCAGTAGTTAGTCCTAAATTTGGGACTCTACTTAAGGCAATACGGACTAGTTGCAATTAATAAGTTAGCAGGAGGGAGGGAGGGATTGGAGTAGTGTGATCCATCGACTACCAGTGTTCCACAAGAATGAAAATATGGTCCATGTCCTCACCGTTACTACACCGTTGCAACGAGAGCAACTGGTCTCGTGAAACCCTCTTATAGTGCAGAGGCTTATTAGATATGGTCTTCTGTGGGTGAGCAGATGGTGACTACTGGATGGCATATGTTCTGTATCGGAAACTAGAGCTGATGTGGTCTATCAAATGCAATTTTCTGAATCAGCACCCCAAATAACCAAACTGAATTGTAAGTTGACCAATAACTGATTCATAACCCCATTGGTACTAATGTTGGAAAGTGGTTCCTGCTCAAAGTTGTCCCTGGTTAAAAAAAAAAAGTTATGAACCACTGAATTGGAGGAATCATTGCCAAAACTTTGTTAGATTATCTAACCCACTCAAAAATGTTATAATTTGTTTGGTAAAATTTTCATAAAAAGAAAAAAAGATGTCAAAAACGACAGCATCATTTAGCTATAAGAATATATATATATGGATGTTTCTCACTTTTGATAGTACAGTATGTTTTAATGTACATCCACAACGGCAGATGCGTTTAGAAACATTATTTCCATAAAATAGTTGATAACCTTCCTCTGACTAGATCAGGGGTAGGGAACCTTTGGCCCTCCAGCTGTGGTGGACTTCAACTCCCACAATTCCTTGAGGCTCGGCATTGGGTCAAGGTAAGCCTTTGGGGCGAATGCCAAGCCTCAAGGAATTGTGGGAGTTGAAGTCCACCACAGCTGGAGGGCCAAAGGTTCCCTACCCCTGGACTAGATCTTTGGAAGGAGATAAAAGACATAAGCATTCACCTGGTGAAATGCTGAAGTACAGTTGTGTGTGCACTTCTGTCTCAGTACATTCATTTATCATGGAAATCATATGTCCATTCCGAAGTCTCGATTTCAATGAAGTGCATTGCAGCATAAACTGATATAGATACCTACCATTGCTTTAGGAAGCAAATAATATCAAAAGTCTCAAGCAGATAAGTATTGGTAAGCCAACACTTAATTCCATTAGTCTTCTCTAAATGTGACTAATCATTAAACCTCTGCCACAATTAATGTATTTATTATACAAAATGCAGATCCTGTCCGTCTGATTTTTATGCTGCACTCAAGATATGATTATAAAAATTACAAAATTCAATAAAAATCAGAAATGGAAATACAGTACTACATGAAATAGTATGTGTTGTGATCTGTTTTATCCACTTCGTAGATGATATTCTTTGTCTGTTTATGACAAATGTGTTGCTCATATGTGATTAAACAGCACATTAACATTTTCCTCATAGCAATTTATTATAATTTGGCTGCTATTTCATGACAAATTAAATATTGAATTCAATTTGCACTCAAGGAATGGAGTGCCTTAATGGAATACTGTCAATCCAGTAAGAGAAATTTAAAGTAAGGAAAAATCAAATTAGTATCAGGTTGAGAATAATGTTACATCAGAATTTAAAATTTCTCTGCATTTTAAATAAAAGTAGGAGGTGTTTTTAAAATCAGAATTAACTATTATTATATTAAAATGTACTCGAATTCAATCTTAATTTTGGAATCCCGTGCCTTTAAAGCCAAGCTTGATTTCTGTCAGATCTCAGATAGCATGAGATAGTAGAATTAAGCAATATTCCTGGAAGGCTGGTAACATTGCTACAAATTTACTAATGTAGGACTCTTTATATAGTTTCTCTATATGGAAGTGAAGAAGAGCCTACTTTTAAGATTTATAGTACATTAAAAAGAAAATTTATTGATTAGAATTTGCGACTTTGGTTATCTTTAGAAATATTGGAAAGGAATAATTTGTAGAAACCACTGGGTGGTGCTCTAATCCCATTACTGTGAAATACTATATTTTGTGGTCATTGGAATTTAGAAGGATATTATAGGCCACTTTGTTCGTAAAAGTTTTCCTACAATATGCCTTCTTATGTTCACTGCAGAATGATGTTTTATATGTTGTATAATGACAGGGGCTTTCTTCCTCCTCCTAAATCCTTAAAGCAAACAAGATTAGTTTATCATCCTGCATTTTCACTTCTTCACTATGAGGTCTGTAGTTCTCAGGCACCTTTCTTTTTGTTACTTCTACTATATTTCTGTTGAAATAGGGTACCCCAGGTGTTGAACTGGAACTTTGTTTAAATTATATTTTTGATCTTCTTTAGAGTTGCTAGGACATCAGTGGTTTGCATAACTCCTTAGTGTTTCTCAGTAAAGCTAACATTGATAGGAGAGTTCATGAAAAAAAAAGATATAGGCAATAATTCTATCATTTACCTTAGAGCAGTGGTTCCCAACCCCCTTTTTGACCAGGAACCACTTGACCAAGGACCACTTGACCAGGCACCACTTGACCAGGGACCATTCTCCAGCATTAGTGCCAAAAGGATTACAAATCATTTTTTTCTCAACTTTAGATTTGATTTGGTTGTTTGGGATGCTGATTCAGAAAATTGGATTGGATAGATCTCATCAGCTCTAGTTTCTGATACAGAACATATCCCATCCAGTGGTCGCCATCTGCTCGCCCACAGAAAACCATATTTAAAAATCTAGAGGTGCTGTGGCAATAGTAATCTTGGGTAGTCAGCCTCTCCCTGCCCAACATCCTCATTGCCTCAGCACTATAAGAGGGTTTTGCAAGACCAGCCGCTCTCGTTACTGCATGGTTCCGAGGCAACGGGGTAGTAGTGGTGAGGCCCTGGACCATATTTTCATTCTTGAGGACCATTTGTGATCCGCAGACCACAGTTGGGAACCACTACCTTAGAGTAAGTCATAAAGAACTTGTGGGATTTATTTCTAGGGCTTATTTGCTTCCTTTTTTATTTTGACTTTTAAACTCCACCTCTCAACCAAGAAGGCTCTTGGGGCAGTTTACAAGTCATCAATGAAGCAGTTTCCTTATATGATATATAAGGAGAATAGCAGTGTATATGTGTATGTGGGACTGAATCAATTCCTGAACTGGCCTTCTCAACCTCAGAGGCCACTACAGGCAGGGACTCTCACCAGTTGCTAGGGCAAGGCACAACAGAAAATTTGTTGCATTAATGTATGTGAGTTTGTGGACATATATTGTGCATGACATGGGCATTCCTTAATGTAAGCATTAGCTTAATAATAATAATAATAATAATAATAATAATAATAAGCTAAGATATTTGTTTAAGCACATACATAAATATATATATTTAACAAAACTAATGTGCATTAAGATATTGCAGATGTTGATGTTTGGTATTTTAAAAAGTCTAACTATATACTACTTTTCTTTTGGTTTTAGAATGAAACTTATTCCACAATGAAGTATAAAGGAGTGCATTTTGGCAATTTGACAGAAAAGCGATATGAATTTAAGATTCAAGATGGCCCTGGACCTGGAGACTATGATGTAATTACGTATGTAATTCTGTCACTGCTTGGTATAAAAAACTGCATTTCTTACACATGCTTGTCTCTACCTTGGATATCATGACAAATCAAGGGAACAAGATACAGCAGGTTTCAGGCTACATGTTTCCAGTGTTGTCACAGAATGATCAGAAACATTTGATCACCCACTGCTTGATATCTCATTTAATTCAGAAGACCTTAATTATATTTTGTATGACATAACGACAATTCAAACTATGGACTATGTATTTGGCTTGTTTCAAGCAAACCATAGCTAAAATGGAAGAGTTTGTTTTTGTACCTGAAAAAATAATAGGCTGTAGGTAATCAGACTTACGTAATTTCAAAAAACAGAAATAAAGCTTGTGATATACAGGTGTCTATAGCAGTGGTTCTCAACCTGGGGTCCCCAGATGTTTTTGGCCTTCAACTCCCATAAATCCCAGCCAGTTTACCAGCTGTTAGGATTTCTGGGAGTTGTAGGCCAAAAACATCTGGGGACCCCAGGTTGAGAACCACTGGTCTATGGTGAAGGGGAGGGAACAGGCTTGCTGTGGCTCATCACCATCACACAAATTAAATACTTATTGTAATTTCTGAACCAACTTTTCATGCTGTGCTTACATTATAATATTGTAGTTTAGTACTCAATCAATAGCATGTTCTGAGAAATCACGTTAATTTTATTATTATGTTTATTTATGCATCGCTTTTTTCTCCACAAAGGAGACTCCAAGCAGCTTACATTACAAGTATTTCAATACAATTAAAAATCTACAAATATATAAGCATTAAATATCTCGTTTTAAAAACCAAAAATCCATAAAACATATTGAAAATATATTCAAAGCTAAAACCACAGTACCCCCTGAATTGATCTTTAAAACCTTCTCCTGTAAAAGCGTGACTGAATTAAAAAAATGAGCCTGTCACTTGAAGGTAGCAGGGAGAAGGCCATTCTGTCTTCCCTGGGCAAGAAGTTGAGACACAGCCACAGAGAAGGAAGGCCCTCTCTCTTGTTCCCACCAAGCCAGCTTACGATGAGGTGGGACTAAGAGAAAAGCCTCTCCCGAAGACCTCAATCAGCTTGAAATATTTTGGAGTGAAGAAGGGGCAGTCCAAACAAGAGTGATTGGCAATCCCACCCCAAAATAGCAGCAGATGTTCTTCCTGCTTGAAGTGTGAACCAATGGAATAAGTGGGACCATTAAGACATACTCATACTGTTGCATTCTAGGACCTCCTGATATTGAGGCTGAGATTTAATTAAGCAAAGAAGCCAAGACCATATTTACTTGTAATAAACTGAAGTCTTGAGTCTTTCAAGGTCTAACCAAAATAAGATAATTGTAGCACACAGAAGGAGTAACAATAAATACTGAGAAGGCCAAGAGTCCAATTAATGCAGACAAGCAGAGTACTACAGAGCCGGGTCAGGAACAACAACAAACAATAACCAAGGCTACAATTCAGTAGTCAGGTGGCAAGGAGTTCACTCATCAGAGAAAATAAAACAATGACCAAGGATCTAGGGGTACAAACCAAAGTCAGAGTTCCGAAGATAAGCCAGATAGTCAGGGGTGAAATAAACTGAAATAAAATCCATAAATCAAAGCCATGAAGTGATTCCAGAATTTACAATACAATAGGGTTCAGAACAGGATTACAGAAACAAGGTCAGAGTCTAGAGGCAACAGAACCAAGATCCAGGTCAAGAGTACAATGTACAAAGAGCAATTCTTTCAAGGCCCCTTCATCATGAGATCTTAACTGCTGCTTGTTTCAGCAAGCCTTCACAGATAATCTCAGAAGCCTGTGATGCTTTCCTTGAGGTTGATGCAGTAGTGAGAAGAGTCCTCTTCTGCTAGAGACCTACCCCAGCAGTAGCTGAGCCAGGCCAATAAATGGCATACCTACACACACAGCCATTCAACCTTTCCCCAGCCCTGGGACCCAAAGCTGCGTAGTTTGTTTGTTTTTTCATTTGTCACCAGAAGGACATAGTGAAGAGATTCAGTCTAGTCTCTTAGAAAGCCTGGGAGAAACCACAGAGAAGGCTTTCCCCTTCCTTCCCATCAAAGGTGCCTGTGAGGGTAGTAGGATGGAAAGTAAAGCATTTCATTGAGAAGAAACTTAAACTCTTTACAGGTTGTTTATAATTTTTTTATTTTCTAACAGTCGGTCAGTCAATGTATATACCATAAATGCCAATTAAAAAGCACACACATGTGAACTGGTTTATCCTTGAAGCTCTTTTGGAGCCACTTATCTCATAAATATACTCCCTTCATGCTGAGGGGGAAATGACCATGGGGAAACAATAAGTGATTCAGTGCCTCTTTCTGAATACCCTTTTAGGTTATTTTAACACAATCTCACATTACCGCAACTGAAAAGCCGAGACTGCAAATTATGCTACAGATTGAAATGCTGTAGTTGAAGATATCAGTCAAAGTAGTTGTAATTTTTGGCACTAATGCTGGAAAGAGTTGTGAGTTGCTTGATAATGGTAGATCAGAGCAGATATAATTTAATTAATTTTCCTGGTCTAAATATTGTTCAGCTATCCTAGCATCTCTTTTAATTTAATCCTCGTCTAGCATGCTGTGAAAAGGAACCATGGGGAATAAATCTCCGATTGGACAGTTGGAGATTATGAATTTTTTGAAATGTGTTCTCAATGGATTTATGTAAATAAATGGGACCTCTGTCATGGCAACTGGAAATGCTAAATTTTAAAATGTTAAGGAACATTCCCTTATCTCACAAAATAACAATTTTTAAATATAAATATTTATTTTTCTGGATTCACTTGAGGCATTATTTTCAATGTATAATAATTGTAGAACTTCTTGGACATCCTTTATATGAACAGTGCTATTATAATTCACCTGTGGCAAGAAAACTTAGATATGAAAATCAAAGTTATTTCAATGTATAGTATGGCATGCATGTACTGTGCTTAGATTATTTGGTTATTGAGAAAACTAGATTCTCATTTGTGACTGCAAAGAACAGCTGTGTCTAATACTACCTGTGGAACAAGGGAGGAAGATAGAGCTTATCCTGTACATATTTAGATATGCAAGCATTTAGAAGAGCCGACTCACAAATTTCTCAAACTTTCTAAAGGGAAAATGTGCCGCATTATGAAAACGTCAACATCAAGAAGGAGGACCAGAAAAAACATGACCTCCGTGTTCCACGCTATCATGAAGTAATTGTATTGCAAGAAGAAAAGAAGGTAATGTCAATTCAATGCAGTCCTTTTAGTAATTAAAAAAGTTGTGATGGGACCACAACTTTACAATTTGAAGCAGTGTACACATAGAAAAGATATTGAATTGTTTTGAGAAAAGGTTTATCCAAATCAATGATGAAAGAAATCAAATGCTCTACAAAAATTAAACAAACACTGACGTTATGAGTATTGAATGATTACTGCATTGTTGTGATATGACATTTCACTTTAGAAAAATGAATATGGTGAGATAATCTTGTTTCTATTAAATTGATGATATGTACATGTGCAGTATTTTCCATTCTTACTTGCTGAATTCAATTTTGCTCTCAAATGATGTCAATCCCACTTCGTTCAATGGAAACCTATCACTCAATTTATGAAAAAACTTGTATTTTTGTTTTGAAATTATGTTAATGTTTCATCAGTATTTATTAAATTTCATGACTCTAGAACTAGAATATACTGATCATATTTCAAATGCCTTCCCAAACCATAGTTTTGACTTGCTGCAGTAATTAAGAAAACTGGAATGGTTCATTATTCATGTGTGTGTGTGTGTGTATGTATGTGTGTGTGCATATATATATATATATATATATATATATATATATATAGGAAGAGCGGATTGAGCTCCCTCTGTCAGCTCCAGCTCCCCATCCGGGGACATGAGAGAAGCCTCCCACAAGGATGGTAGAAACATCAAACATCTGGGCGTCCCCTGGGCAACGTCCTTGCAGATGGCCAATGCTCTCACACTAGAAGCGACTTGCAGTTTCTCAAGTTGTTACTGGTACAAAAAAGAGTATAAATGTGACAAGGAATTTGTAGAATTTGTAGAGACCCGGATTCTTTAACACCATGGCTTATAGCATATCATAACTGTGAACATTTACAGATTTTACTCTTAACATGTTTATGATTGAGTGGATTGGATCCAAACGTACCCATGCTTAGAGTTTTAATCCATTGAACTCAATAGGCATGTTCATCTGGCTAATTTAAACCCCATTGGTTTCAAAGAGTATTATCAAAGCATGACTAAGTCAAATAAAACTCAATATCTCAGCACTGTATATCAGTAGTATCACAGACACAGTGTAATAGTCTGGCTCTTCTGGTATGCTAGTTTAAATGCTACAGTGAGAACCCTGTGAACTAGCAGTAGCAATATAGAAAACATAAGAATAGTTGGGAAGCAAACCAATGGCTACTCTTCCAGCCTTTCTGAATGCTTTATCTCTATCTGTCAGTACTAAATTTGATGTATTTTGATACCTCCATCAATGATGCTTCCATTACCTTTGCATGCCTTCGTGTGTAATAGCAGTGACTCCAGTTATCTTTGCTGTTAACACCTTCTTCTGTGGATGCTGTGGGAGTGATTGTTATGATCATTATGATGATCTCCCATTACTTAATTTTCTTTGCTGAATAAGGAAATGAGTCTGCACCAAGGGGAAGTGAACATAAAAGAACACAATCATTTTAGTGTTAATTGATAATTTATCAAATACGCATGGAGTATAGTTTATGGCAGGGGTCCTCAAACTTTTTAAACAGAGGGCGAGGTCACAGTCCCTCAGACTGTTGGAGGGCCAGATTATAATTTGAAAAATACATGAATGAATTCCTATGCACACTGCACAAATCTTATTTGTAGTGCAAAAAAAAACAACAACTTCAAAACAATACTATAATTAAAATGAAGAACAATTTTAACAAATACAAACTTATTAATATTTCAGTGGGAACTGTGGACCTGCTTTTGGCTGATGAGATAGGATTGTTGTTGTTGTTGTGTGCTTTCAAGTTGTTTCAGACTTAGGTTGACCCTGAGTGAGGGCTGGGTAAATGACCTTGGAGAATCGCATCTGGCCCTCGGGCCTTAGTTTGAGGACCCCTGGTTTATGGTATGTTGCCCTGGATTTGTTTTTGATGTGCTTTTGTTATTTTAGATATATATGGTTGGGCGAAGAAACTAAATAGTCTTCTGCAAGTTTTAGTTTTCTCATAGATTTCCTTGCTTCTTAAATGACTGAAAGTTTGCATTTCTTAAAGCTGGATATCTGTAGTGAAGCAGACAGGGCATTCATGGTGTTAGGACTAGTAGTTTTACTGTAAATTATCTAGTGGAATTTGTGTGGAAGAGATGTCATTAGGGAGAGCAGCAAAGCAATTGCTGTAGAGTTCAATTGCGGTTTTGGTAAGTATTTATTCTAAACATGGTTGCCTTATTGTGAGATTTGGTAATGCTCATCATACATGGATTCGGTTTGGGACAGAATTTCTTGCCAATTTAATAAGATTATTTTGCAGATTTCAATAATAGTTTTTTTTAACTGAGAAAAATGATAGGGAAGAGTAAGTATGTCAGAGTGAAAGAGATGTTGTAGTAAGACTGATGATTGTCTGTACTACTCATCTCAGCTTTTCAAGCTTAACCCTTTTGTTCATTAATCAGTCAAAAATGGCAGGTAGTGACCATTAGGAGGATTCATTAGCACCCTGCAGCATGTTTGTACAGGGTGACCCACATCTGTCTTCATTAGAAGTTTGCTAGTTGCCAGTAGTGAACAGATGGGTCATTATTGCCTACGTTGCCCTTTCGGTGTACCTGGAGGACAGACAAAGTCGTCCTGAGCAGGACACACAGTGTTACCTCACAGAGAGCAAGCAATCTATTTTGAATAATATTATTACAAAACCTGTTTTTCTTGATGTTGTGTACCTGTGTGTCCTTGTAGTTCAAAGGATGCAAAATGTGCAATGTTCAAAAATATTCTGGTTTTTATGAGTTTAAGTTTCTAGCAATTAATAATATGGAAGTCAGAGGTTATATTTATCTCTTTTGTACATCAGGGCTTTTTTTTCATTATCGACTCAACTTTGTTTTACTTAATGAGAGCTTTGAATATAGTCTGTATCTTGCAAAATCCAAATGGAGGTGTTTTTAACATCGACCAAAGGAAGATGGTAATAAGAAACATGAAAACTTTTACGTTTAATGAGCAAAGGTACCATTCATTTATGGAAGAAAAGGTCATATTAATTTTCTTTCATCAGAACTAAGACTGTGAAACGTTCCCAATTATAACTCTCTTGTATTCAAAAGCTATTAGTTGTTTTTTAAAACAATAACTCCAAAGTGTTTTGTAAGACTGGACTGATGTTGATTTCACTTAAAGATGCATTGTTTCAGCTGTAGCACTTCTTGATACTACAAAAAAGATGTATTTGTTTCATTCAGAAAAGGATGATTTTGCGTACATTGAAACTGAATATTTCTCATATTGTTGAAGGCTTTCATGGCTGGAATCACTGTGTTGCCATGAGTTTTCCAGGGTGTATGGCCATGTTCCAGAAACCTTCTCTCCTGACGTTTCACCCACATCTAGGCATGTTCAGAGGTTGTGAGATATATTGGAAACTGAGTAAGGGAGGTTTATATATCTGTGAGAGGTCCAGGGTGGGAGAAAGAACTCTTGTCTGTTAGAGTCAAGTGTGAATGTTGCAATTAATCACCTTGATTAGTATTGCAAAACTTTGCATTTTAAAGGTCTGGCTGGTTCCTGTCTAGTGGAATCCTTTGTTGGGAGATGTTAGCTGGCTGGAACAAATCAAGAACTTTGGTCCCAAAAGCAAGGCGCTGGCTGCTGGAGCTGATGAACAACTGCACTGCATCCTGTCAGATCCCCAAAATCTGGAGGAAAGAAAGAGTCATCGCCATCTTGAAGCCAGGCAAAGACCGTAATGACCCAAAAAGCTACAGACCAATCTCCCTGTTGTGCCACCTCTACAAAGTTCTGGAGAGACTTATTTTGCATAGAACTATGGAAAAAATAGACCCATGTCTGAGTCCACAGCAAGCTGGCTTCAGGAAAGGCAAAAGCTGCACATCGCAAGTGCTGAACCTGACTCAGCACATAGAAGATGGCTTTGAAAGGCAGCAGATCACAGGAGCTGTCTTCATAGACCTGTCAGCAGCCTATGATACTGTGAACCACCGCCTCCTCCTGAGAAAAATGTATAATATCACAAAGGACTACCACCTCACCCGCCTCATAGGAAACCTGCTACAAAACAGGAGCTTTTTTGTTGAGTTCCAGGGCCAGAGAAGCAGGTGGCGGAAACAGAAGAATGGCCTGCCTCAGGGGAGCGTGCTTGCTCCATCCATGTTCAACATCTACACAAATGACCAGCCACTGCCAGAAGGGACAGAGAGTTTCATCTATGCTGATGATCGTGCCATTACTGCTCAAGCAGGGAGCTTTGAGACTGTAGAACAGAAGCTCTCCGAAGCTCTAGGTGCTCTTACTGCCTATTACAGGGAAAACCAGCTGATCCCTAACCCATCTAAAACACAGACATGTGCCTTTCATCTCAAGAACAGAGAAGCATCCCGAGCTCTGAAGATCACCTGGGGGGGAGTCCCGCTGGAGCATTGCAGTGCACCCAAATACCTGGGAGTCACTCTGGACCGTGCTCTTACCTACAAGAAGCACTGCCTGAACATCAAGCAAAAAGTGGGTGCTAGAAACAATATCATACGAAAGCTGACTGGCACAACCTGGGGATCACAACCAGATACAGTGAAGACATCTGCCCTTGCGCTATGCTACTTTGCTGCTGAGTATGCATGCCCAGTATGGAATACATCTCACCACGTTAAAACAGTTGATGTGGCTCTTAATGAGACATGCCACATTATCACGGGGTGTCTGCACCCTACACCACTGGAGAAATTACACTGCTTAGCCGGTGTTGCACCACCTGGCATCCACCGGGAAGTAGCAGCCAGTGGTGAAAGGACCAAGGCAGAGACATCTCCAGCTCATCCCCTGTTTGGGTATCAGCCAGCACGCCAACGACTTGGATCTGGACATAGTTTTCTGGGATCTGCGGAGAAACTCGCTGGAGCGCCTCAGCAAGCGAGAGTCCAGGAGGGGCGGGCTCAAACCCAGCACCTCAACCAATGGCTGATACCAAATGAAGGACTCCCT